AAGATCAAGTGGAATAAAAAAGAGAGGGGGGGAGAGAAAAGCCCACCACTTTTTGATAAGATTAATCGTGAAATCTTCCTTAACGATCTGGATTTTGTTTGAAATTGGAACAACTTTTTTCATCTTTCGCAGAGTATGCATGATCACCATATTTTGCAAATGTGTTCAAAGTGAATAAAGAGTTTGTAGGAGAACCACCAAGCCCGTTGCTTGTCCAGTAAGCAGAACATCAAAACGTAACACAATCTGAACCAGAACTAGCTGCCGCATTTGGCTAACATTGTCAAAGGAGTAAAAGTGTTCAAACAGGAGGGATGGATTTCAACACATGGTCAGGTAGCTCTTTTTCACCTCTTTCCATTCGAGAAAGTATTTGCACGGTATGTGAATTGGAATTCCTCTTAAGATATAAACTAGTCTAGGTATTATGTTCATTTTAAGAGCATTTCGGAGGAAGAGAGGAGAACTAGCCCTGCTGTACATCAGGGAGGGCTGTGTGAAGAGAGTCTCTTCCTTTAAATTTCTAGGAGTTTATCTCAGTGAAGATCTTACTTGGAAAATAAATACAACCCAGGTGGTTAAGAAAGCCCAACAGAGACTTCATCTCCTCAGAGTCTTGTGGAAGAACAATGTCAATCAACGTCTGATGATCTCCTTCTACCGGTCAACAATAGAAAGTGTCCTTTCATACTGCATCACGGTGTGGTACGCTGGTTTGACATCATCTGATAGGAAGTGCCTACAGAGGGTGGTGAACACAGCACAAGATAATATGGGCTGTCCCATGAATCCACTGGATGAAATAGCGGAAGAACGTTGCCTCAGGAGAGTGAGGGAAATTCTCAGGGATGATTCACACCCTGGCCGGCACTTTCTTGATCTCCTGCCCTCAGGCAGAAGATATAGATGCATGATTAGTCACACCAACAGGGTAAAGAACAGCTTCTATCCGTGGGCTGTTAGGTTGCTGAATGAAAAGATAACAACAGAGCAACTGACTTTTGGGTTTGGTGGGTGTGCGTCAGTAAACGAGGGGAATTAAGACTAAGAGAACTGAGTGGGGGGTGCTCGTGTAATCTCATTATATACAAGTTGTACAAGTGACAATAAAGTATTTCAATTTCAACTGACTTTTCCCCACAGGGTCAGGTTCAATGACACCCATCTGTCAATGTCTAGTGATACCTCATGATATATTTTGTTGATGTTTGATGACACTCATTTAGATAAACCTTGTGTTATTAATATGCCTAGTTATTTTATGTTGTCTTTGCAAATATGAAATTGGTATTGTTTAAATGGATGAACCAAAACGTTATTTCCTATTAACACCAACTCCGATTTGGACCAGTTTATAGTGCGTCCAGAGATATTGCCCAAAACATCTATATGTTGCATTTAAATTGGAACAGTACTGTGAGGTTTCGTGATAAACAAAAGAATATCGTTTGCAAAATGCTTAATCATCTGCCTTGCTTAAAGGAATGGCCTTCTCCTAGTAACATTACCGTGCTGCCAGTCAGGCATGGTTGTATCATAACATCCTTGTGCATTAAAGACAGCTAATGAAAACAATTCCGGGTGAGGGGAATGCATGCAAGCAGGGGGTGAGTGTGCAGTGGTTGGAGTGTTGGACTAGGACCTGGGACATCAGGGCTCAAATCTCTCAGCCTACCTCACAGGGTTGTTGTGGGGATAAAGTAGAGATGGATGAGATTCTTGTATGCCACCTTGAGCTCCTTAGAGGAAAGGTGAGTTATAGGAAATGTAATAATAAAAATAAACAAGCAAACATAAGACTCTCACTGATTGGTGGCTCCAATCCCCATGAGCCTCTGCTGACATTGCCACACACATGACTTACTCTTAGGATCCACTTTTCTACACAGAATCTTTGTGCAAGTTCTGAGCACTTTGGAGAAGTTCTTTTCGGCCTTAGGAAGGGGAAAGCAATAATCACCTTTCCAACTTTCTTCTGCTTGCCTAGATGAAATATAGACCAGAAATATCTGTTTTCCAGGGAGGTTCTCAGTCATACAAATGGAGATCTCTCTTAATGATATTCAGCAATTATCTCAGAAATATAAGAAAGCCTGTGTCAATATGATTCCTCATAAAATTCTTAAACTCTCCTTGAGCAGGGAGATAGTATGGATCTGAGAGCAGAGCAAAAAATAATAATGAAAAGCTGCCCTTTGAAATTTTGCTTTTGCACTGTGTTACTTATACACGGCTTCAAATCCCAGAAGAGGACACAAAACAGCAGGTGAAACCAAAATGCTCCAGGAGTCACACAAGGAATAGGATAAGAAAAATGATGACTTCACAAACAGCAGTGACATTGCTGAGGTAATGTAGATGATGGGCACATTATCAAGCTGAGTCAGACTTAATTTGTAACCTTTGCCTAACCACTAACCACTCAGCGTAAAAGAACTGATGCATATTAAAGGGAAATGATTACATTTCCCCCCCCCCCTTTAAAAAGTAGACCTGTGAATAAGGATGGGAATATCAGTTCATTTCTGGTCCTTGTCCATTTTGCAGATCTGCATTCATAAGTCTGCCCATTTTGCACGTACTCGTTCACAAATCCATCCCATTTATCAGCATATTTTTTTCAAAAATAAAAGAGTTACAAATATTCTTGCTTTAGTGTGTATTTAAATAAGTATTTATGGGACGCGGGTGGCACTGTGGGTTAAACCACAGAGCCTAGGACTTGCCGATCAGAAGGTTGGCGGTTCGAATCCCCACAACGGGGTGAGCTCCCGTTGCTCAGTCCCTGCTCCTGCCAACCTAGCAGTTCGAAAGCATGTCAAAGTGCAAGTAGATAAATAGGTACCACTCCAGCGGGAAGGTAAATGGCATTTCCGTGCACTGCTCTGGTTCACCAGAAGCCGCTTAGTTATGCTGGCCACATGACCCGGAAGCTGTACACTGGCTCCCTTGGCCAATAAAGCGAGATGAGCGCCGCAACCCCAGAGTCGGTCACGACTGGACCTAATGGTCAGGGGTCCCTTTACCTTTACTAAATAAGATGCATATCATTTATCATTTAAATACTCATTTTGTTTCAATGCATACATTTCAAAATGGGTTATATCCTATAACACACATTTTAAGGAACTTAGGTACTTTTTTTGGAGCTGAGAGTGGCACACTTTGGTGCAACTATGATGAGTCTTGGACAGGCTTCCTCAACCTCTGCCCTCCAGATGTTTTGAGACTACAATTCCCATCCTCCCTGACCACTGGTCCTGCTAGCTAGGGATCATGGGAGTTGTAGGCCAAAAACATCTGGAGGGCAGAGGTTGAGGAAGCCTGGTCTTGGAGCTCAAGCTCACTTGCTAAAGTTGATTGTGCTCCTGAAAAAAGATTGATATCCAAAAATGTGATGAACTCAATAAAGACACTTCTGCTGTACACCTGCATTCTTACTCCCCCATTGCATTTTGTGTCTTCTCATTTTTCCTTTCCCCAACATTAGAAGAAACTGCCAGCTGCTGCAGCTTGGTAATGGGGAAGAGGATGAGAATTCTCTCTTTTATGTACAAACGATGGGAAGTGATGGCAGAGAAAGGGCATCACTTACATACAAGTTAAGAATGCAATTCTTAATTCCCAGTCTCATGTTTAATACAAACAGAATATCCACATTAAACCAAAATGCTTACTAACAGCTCGCATGCAGCATTTGGCAACAATTCAGCCTAATAATATAATATAAATGGGTTGTATTCAATGATCAGTATCTCTGTTTGTATCTTTCTTCACATTGTTTCCTAAATGGATTTGGACAAGTACTGGTCTACGTTTTATTACTGTATGGATGGCAAGATGTTGTGGTTTTAGGTATTCTTTTTACAGAAATGGGTTGGGCTGCATCCAGCAGTGTCTTCCCGTCAGTGCAAGGACATCTGCCCACACAATGGGGATTCCTCTCTGCGCCTCTATCTGTGTGCACACACCCCACAGAGGAAACCCCCAGACCAGAACTGAAAGGGCATGAGAAGCATGGAGATAGAATGTCCCATTGTGCAGGTGGAAGTCATTCTGCTAACAGGAAGACTTTGTTGGATACAACCCAAAATGTTTATATAGAAAGACTACTCCTGAGCCAGAACGGTGGTCCCTGTCCAAGGTCCTGACCTTGATTTACTGTAGCTTCCAGTCTGTTCCATACCCTTAGATCTACTGGCTTCCATCTTGCTTGGGCCATCAACTTTTATTGGTGGTGAACACCATAATGGATCAGGACAGAACCAAGCAGCCATTCAAAGTGTTGGTGCTGCCTTTAAAGCCCTAAACGGCCTCGGTCCAGTATACCTGAAGGGGTGACTCCACCCCCATCGTTCTACCCGGACACTGAGGTCCAGCACCAAGGGCCTTCTGGCAGTTCCCTTACAGCGAGAAGCCAAGGTACAGGGAACCAGGCAGAGGGCCTTCTCAGTAGGGGCACCCGCCCTGTGGAACGCCCTCCCACCAGATGTCAAAGAGAACAACAACTACCAGGCTTTTAGAAGACATCTGAAGGCAGCCCTGTTTAGGGAAGCTTTTAATGTTTGATGCATTACTGTATTTTAATATTTTGTTGGAAGCCACCCAGAGTGGCTGGGGAAGCCCAGCCAGATGTGCGGGGTATAAATAAATTATTATTATTATTATTATTATTATTATTATTAGGGAATCATCACTTGACCCAAGAATAGAAAATGGATACAATTAAAACCAATACTCTGTACAGCTGTTGGGGATAGATTTCAACATTCAGGAGAAGCACCTGAGACTGCAACCTGTTACTGTGAGAAAGGTGGGTGGGCTAACAGCAGCAGCTGCTGCACTTCGCCATCTGATTCAGTAGGCAAGTGGAAAGATGTTACTGCAAGAGACTCTGGGTGACAGTCAGTCTTTCCAGGTCAATGGGACCTTGGCACCTGCCCATGGATGCTGATGCCTGGCATCATCTCTGAGTTCAACCTTTGCTATCACAGGTGAAGAGCCATAGCTCAGTGGTAAAGCATTAGCTTTGCATGCAGAAGGTCCCAGGTTTCATGTCACATATCTCCAGGTAGGGCTGGGAATTGTCCTTGGCCTAAACCCCTGAAGAGCCATTGCCAGTCACTGTAGACTCTCCTGAGCTAGAGGGACCAATGGGCCTGATTCATAGGACAGTCTCCTATGTCTCTATGGGTTTGGGAACATCCTGGACCCTGCAGCATGGATGCACGCCCTGTGACACACGAGAATACTGCATCCAGGTTGTGGCTTGCTGTTGATCAAGAGGAAGGTCAGCCTATATCCCCTAAGGAAGCACCATGGGTCAGTTGTAGAACATCTGTTTTGCATGCAGAATACCCAAGGTTCAATTCCCAGCATCTCCTATCTGAAAGAGAGGACAGTCGCTGCCATTCAGTGCAGACAACACCATGCTAGATGAGAAAGATGTCAGATTGTTTTTGTATGCCACAACTGCAGCTAGAATTTTGTTGGCCAAAAATTGGAAATTACAAGAAGTACCAACAGTGGAGGAATGGCAGATGAAGATGATGGACTTTTGGGAGCTAGCCAACCTGACCAGAAAAGTCTGCAACCAGAAGGAGGAGGAGTACCAAGAGGAATGGAAGAAATTTGAAGACTATTTAGCTAAATATGTTAAGATAACTTAAATAGAATTACTTGCGAGTATCAGATAGGCCTAGGATTTAAATATGTGATGTTGTAGAATACTATGTTGTTAAAATGAAAAGAAAGAAAGATGTTAATCAACCAAGTAAATTCTATGTGAAAATAGTTTTGGAAAACTACTACAATGATTTATATGGAAACTCAGCCAGGGGGATTCGAGGAAGTCACCTAACAATGTTAACAAAAGTGGGATTATTACAGTTAGGATAAATGTTTGTTTGTTTTTTAATATTTTCTTTTCATGTTTGTGGATTTATGTGTCATAAATTTGGAAAACTAATAAAAAAAATTGGGGGAAAAACAAAACACCATGCTAGATGACTCTGCATTAGGCAGCTACTTGTGTTCCTATGGGCCAAACTAGATGTGACGTTAATGTCATGAATGCAACTAACATGCACATTTTTTGTTATGTATATCGACATCAATGGGAGTTTCCCTTTCCATGCAAATAAGCACCAACAGAAGGCAGTGTTTGCTACATCCTCCCCCTTCCTGTGTGGTCCTGGATGGAGTGAGCCCCACTCACCTGTCACAGTGCCCCCTGTGGGAGCAGGGAGCGTGGGATCCAGCTCATCACTTAGATCCTGTTCCCCACCCCTGCCCAACAGCTCCAGCCCGCATAGTCAATGGGCCAGGATGATGCCACAAATCTGGAGAGCATCACCCCAGTAGGAGCTGTTAGTTGTATAAGACACTGCTGCCTTGCCCCATATTTAGAATATCAATGCAAATTTATAGCTGCTCTTACCTGTGTGGGAGACAGAGAGCCAGATCTGGAGGAGCAACTGTGCCTTGCTGTGAAAATTCCTATGCGCCTATTCTTTCCTCATATTGAATTATTCAGACTTAATTGGCTATTCTGTTGCTTTGTGAAGGTCTTTAGGTTTTGGGTTTGTTGTTTTTGTCAGCACCGAGAAACCTGCACTCGGGCTTCCAGATTTAAATGTCAGAAAGAGAAGAGGAAACACAATGGTTTTTTCCCCCTATTAATTTGGGCTATTCTTTTACATTCTGAATACAGTCAAATCCCAATTACCTGGACCCCTGCTATGAGATACTCCCTTTCTATTGAGCTGCCACTGTGGCTGCCCCTTCTGTTGATTCTCAATTCTCCAGATTCCCAATTATGCAAACATAATTGGTGCTACATAAACAAGAAAGGTGATCAGATTCTGCATATGGTGTTAAGAGTAATCCTCCGTCGCTTCTTGGTCAGAATATTCAGCAACTAAATGACAAACAGAAAAGCTTCTCCATATCTCTTTGTCTATGACAACCTTCACTCCAAATCTTCTTCATTCTCAAATTTAGAATATACTGGAGGTCCTTCATAAGAACATAAGGAGAGTGTTACTGTGTCAGGCAAAAGGTCCATCTAGGCCATACCCACACCATCCATCCTACTCCCCTCACAGAGCTACAGTTCCCAGAGTTTCTGAGAAGAGGGATTGATTGGGAATTGTAGCTCTGGGAGGGGAAATAAGGGTCTCCTAATAATGCTCAGCATCCTTAACGCATAACAGCTCCCAGAATTCTTTGGATGGTCTGTTTAAAGTGGTATCGTAGTGATTTCAATGTCTGCTGCGAATGTGAGCCTAGTCCAGTATTCTCTTCTTGCAATGCACGGTGTTTTTATAATGTTTTCATAACAGAATATTATCTCTGCTATCTTTGTGCTTGGCTTCTATCGCTTATGTCTGCCCCTTAAACCTCCAAAAGAGAGTAATTAGTTTACATACACTTAATAGAGATTTTGATAGCCAATTGACCGAGATCCAAACTGTGTCTCAACCACAGCCAAGGCTTTTGTGCATGGGAAAGGCTCTTCCAGCTTATATACTCACTATTCATTCCTCAAGATTTTGGAGACTGTGCCCGTGCATTAAGTTAGATCATCAGAAAGCTAATTATCTGGATCTAATTGCCTTAGCTCCACGTAGGATTGCTTTTACAGAATTAAGATTTAATGTCGTGCCCTCTGCTTTTATGGACAGGGATAATAAGAAATTTCCTTTGGGACAGTCTTTTTGTGTATTTTGTAAAACTGTCACAGGGGATATAGAATCATTGCATTCTTCCTGAGGGTCATCTAGTCCAACCCCTGCAATACAAGAATCTCAGGCAAATCAGTGTAACAGCCTTGAGACTGATCCACTAACTCTTGAGTTAAGGGGGAAGGAAGTTCATTGGGAAAACAGGCAGCCTGAGTGAGCTCAAAGGACCAAATGGTAAGTCTCATTTTCCAAGCATCTACTGAGAGTGCTGCTATCTCATCCTGACTATGGAAAGAAAATCGGTTTGGTTCACATTTTAATACAAACCTACCTAATTTGAAACACAGCTATCCTTCAAAATTTCTCCTTCTCTAAATTTTGTGGTGCGTTCTCTGTCCAACTAATGAGTACAGAAATTATTACATCAGGGAAAAAGGAGCGTAAAAATGTGCATTGGTAAAAATTCCATTTAAGGCTCAATGCATTAAAGCAAAATTGTTGCAAAAATGTATATATTGGACAAATGTGTATATTGAACACTAAAATACTAGGATTTTTTTAGGATGTCTTTTAAAAAAAAATCCACAGTCTGTTCTAGTATATAAAGCAGCCTCATCTGCTCCTTTCAGATTTTTAAATCTGAATTTTGCCTAGAGAAAAAATTGAATTTGGAGAATCTTCCATGGGTGAAACCTCTGAGGTGGTGGTGGAGAAGCTTCCAGGAGGAAAAGAAAATATTTTAATATGCCTAGTGAAGAATGCACTGATTTAAAAAGATGAGCTAAAATGATGTAAAAGGTGCGTGTTTCCCCTGTAATCAAAGGTGATTTATTTATTTTTTGTTCCTTCAGCATAATGCTTTAGACATTTATTTCCTTGGGCACGGTGCACAGAAGATCTGTGGGGAGCAAACAGCAGATGTTCAAGGAATACTGAAATGTTGATCTGGTCATTTTACTAGCTGCATGATCAATATTTATTCCAGCCTTGATGAATTTAGCATGCCCTTCTGGAGTCTCTTTTCCCCCACCCTCCTGCAGTAATTGCATTCAAAAAAGTGCTACTTTGTACAGGGATAATTATAACAGCGAGGCAATATACAGTGTGCATACAGAAAGCGAGTTGGGCATGGGGGGGTGTCCTTTTTTTCACCTACCTTGCACTCCCGCTGGTGGTCAGGATGTGTCAGCAAGGTGCAGGAGGGTGGAAAGTAAAGACGCCACAAAACTGAACGAAAAAGGGCTGAGGGAATTCACTTCAACAACAACCTTTCCCTCGGGTTAATAACAGCCATCCCCTCCCCAGCAAAATCTTGCAGTGAGCAAATGAATTTGGGGGAAGTGACAGTGCTCCCCCCCCCTTTCCTTTTTCTTTTTTGCAAATCACAGCGCTTTGGAGTTTGTATGAAACAGTTGCACGACACAAGCGAATATGGTGATAGTTAATGGCCTCTTGAACGTCACACGCACACAACTTCTGCAAAGTAGCTCCTTCCCTCAGTCTTGGACTAGACCCGTGGTTCCCAACACAGGGGTGTGTGGTGATGACACAGGGTCCCTGGACATTTCACCGTCTATTGATCCCTGTGCCACCACTTTATTTCTCGCTGCCACCACCCTGGCCCTACCTTGTACAATACTGAGTCCAGTCAGGGTTAAATTGGAACATGAACTTCTTTTTATTTATTGCAGTTTAACAAGCGTGTGGTTTCATAAACCGTATCGGTCAATTACGTTCATGGGGTGCCTATCCAGACCTATAACTTCCGCTACCTGCTCTCACTCACTAAACCACCTCTCAGATGTTTACTTGTCTTCCTAGCCCGTAACTGTTCCTGACTCAGCTTATTTCACTACGCTAACTCAGCCTACCCACAGACTCTATCCCAATTCACTCCCACTCCAACCAACCACCCAACTCCCAACGAACTCCTCTTTGCCCCTCCCAGAGCTGGTTTTATAGTCCCTCTGACTCCACCCCCCTGGGTCCTGATTGGATAACCTGTTTAACTATTTCACCTCCAGCACTCTCATATGTTAACGTCACAGGGGGCAATTTGGTTTTTAAGGGAGGCAACTTGAGAATTGAGTTATTAACCGTTAATGGCCTTTTAGGCTTCCTCCACATGAATAGGAGTTCACTTTTTGAATAATAAGAATTATTTGAATAATAAAAATTATATGTCATGGGGGTCAGGGACATTTGGATTTTAGAGATGTCTAGGTGGGGCATGGCCAAAAAAAAGGTTGGGAACCACTGGTCTAGGCCCATCTGTGATGTGGCATCTTGTCTTTTATGCAAAAGAGGCTGGCTAGAGACCAGTGGGTGCTTGTGCCCATTGTGACTAGGGTGGAATCTACACACATATTTAAAATGTTGTGAAAATACTTTTTTT